TTTAGATGTACGTCGATTTAAATGAATCAAACAGTGAAACCATCTAACTTGCCACCTTTTCATATATACTGATCATAATTGCTTCATAATAGATCTAGTCAAAATATGAATATTCATACCAAGCACTTTCGTTATGGCCCCAAAATGAACCTTGAGGAACACCCCGATTTAAACCTAGTAACAGCCATAAGGCCAGAGTAGACAACAAGTCCAGTTAAAATTCATTTAACACTGGAAGAAACAATAATACATAATTTAAAACACTGATTGGCACTAGTTACGTCCAAATGTCTACGAGTGTCATTACTGATTTTAGGAATATTGACTCAATTTGCGATAAGATTTTGCGGTGTATTATTGTAATAATCAAAGACCACCTTAACTAACCACGAGGTAGTGATAGTAATAAAGTAACCATAGGCTGATCTAAGATTAAATTGTGGTTTTCTCGACATGTACGTTAAGCAATATAAACTGCGACCAACCACAAATGTCTAGCACGTACCGGAGCTTACAGGTCTTGGGCGTGGCTTCTGATAAAAGATTCATACAGGAATGYTAGTAAAATTTTTATAGCCTTTCTAAAGTCGACTATCGATATTATTATGAAATCAAGTACATTACAAAAGGTATAACCAGTCATGACATACTTAACCGTCTTTACTTTTGCTGATAATTCGTACTGACAGTTACACCTAATTTAATCAAATATTGCATATATGCATGAAAACCTTTTAGTTATGACATAGATAACGTTACGGTGTKAATATCTGTTAGAAGCTTTTATTATCATCTAATGAATAACGATAAAGAAGAAATAGGTAAATATACCCGCTGTGGTATAACTTGACCATGAATCGATGCTAAAATCTTATAAGAACTTAACAACAATAGCTCTCTTTGTTACGACATACATTTCCACGCTCTATGCAGTTTGTTTGTTTTTATYAGAAATGATTATTAGTCTTTAATAATAGTAATTACATGGCTAGTACTCATGTGGGAGATGAAATAACAACCACGCAGGATATATGTCAACTTAGATCACTTGAGAAAGGAAATTCTATTCTCTCGATACGCCACGCATGAAGCGATAATATCGCATCAAATCCGTCGTTTAAATTAAATTGAAGTAAACAAGTGACAGTCTTGCGTTTAATACGTACGTAAAAAACTTACGTCCACACACAGCTTACAAGCTCGGTTGGAACTATTGCTGTATTTTTCAGCTTGTTGAAATTTGTCAATTTGCCGATCAAAAGTAGTTTYAAAAGTTAGTTTTGGCTGATCATGAGATGGTTAGACGAAACCGTCCATGAAATATATATGTTTTTATCTTTTTTCTAAGGACGTGCATCTCTTCATATTTACCATCTTTATATACGCATCTAGTGGATTTGTAATCGTATTTTCAACGTGACTTGTTTACGTAGGTCAAAGCGTAAAAACCTTAATGACTTAAAAATGCCTGTAAAATTCGATTGGATCAGTTTTGTTGATAGCTATTACAAAATGCATTTTTGATCGGCATCTTTAGTCAGAGATTGATGAGTGATCGGTATTAGTTTAGATCGATAGGTGAAATGTGACGCACAGTTCAAATGGCTTTTATATTGCTGAAATAAAAACCCGAACGCAGCGGCTTGATAAAGAAGTGGGTGCGAAAAAAGAGGAAAAATAATAGTGAAAAATAATTAACAACAACAATAGTGATAATMATAATATAAATATTATGATAATAATAATATAAATATYATTAGCAATAATGCAAAAAAATCTCAGCAAGATTTGACTCAAATAAATCAAAATATCATGAAAAACGTTAACAATTTTATAAATTTGAACTGTTCTTGAAGCCAAAATGTACCTTGTACCTTTGTTTTCAGTTTAAAGTTAACATTCGAGGGAAAATGAAWTTGAGGACTAAGCCCGAACTAATTAATATGAAATGTTCTGAGCATTTTTCTGAAATATCCGGGGTGTTCGGAAGGCAACTGTCATGGTGTTTTGACATTGAGATGGTTTGTGACAGCATGGTGTGCAGCACGTCAACAAGGAACAATTAGGGTAGGCGTTTATAACATAACAAAGAAAATATAGAGGGAAAATTAGAAAGAAAGTAACAAAAAACCCAGCTGTCTGAAAAATAGCTTGACATACAAATTTTTATTAAAAAACTTCATTGGAAAACGCGATTTAAAGAACAATATATGTAGGTTTTTAACAAAAACCCTGAAATGACACTTATTATTTTAAAATACAGTCTTGATTGTTTAAAAAAATATTTCCAGTACATAAAATATATGAAAACTCATACAGGATTCATTTCCTTTTACAAGAAAATAGTGCTAGTTTAGTTCTCTTTAGTCTACAAAAATCAAGTTTTAATGACAAGAAATGGTTATATTCAATAAAAAATGCAGCAGCTGAACGTTTACATGAATTGTATTTAGTATTATGAGCACTATAAAATTAGCATATTTAGCTACCTGTGAGCGACCTACTGTGAAAGAGATACTATGATTAGGCGGRCTGGCAAATAATGCTCAGTAAAACGATCTCAAAATAAAACAGCATTTCATGAGTAAGTATCGCAGCCTAATTGCCCAGAGGATCATTTTGTAACTTTGATGAAGTGCTATTTGCTCTTTTTGACTAATGTTTTCTCTTTTCATTTCTTAAGCCATTTCCGTTGGCGCCTGATACACTCCATGATACAGGAAAGCAGACATTCCCCAGATCAAAGCACTATTAATTGCTATGCTCRAAGCTTTACAACAATATCTAGCATATTTGCCTGAAGATACATAAGACAGGATGACATACTGATCAAAGTGCTATATATTGCTATGCTTGAGGCCTTCAGTTCAATTTGTGACAAATTCAATTAAGAGTATTTCACTATTCAATTTAATGTTTATCAGACCTTCATTTTTTAGTGAAATTATATATGAGCTGACTGAAAAATATATCCCATTACAAATTAAACTAAATCGGAATCAATATATAAGTTTTTTTGATTGATCATTAATATAAGGTCGAAGACTGCGTGTCTAATGATGCTCGCAGTTTTTCAGTGTTTTTTTCAATGATCATCTTTTTCTGCCTTTTTGTGAAAGTAAATTTTCTGCGTTGAAGTTGTATCTCATTTGTCTGTTATTCATCGATCATCTTCTATGTTAATC